ATCGTATGGAGCTCCGAGTAAAACTAAGTCCTCGGGATTCTCCCTCTCTTTCAGCCATGCATAGCCGTCCTTCTCCTCATCGGACACAGGCACGCCATCAACTGTTTCATTGAAAATTATAGCGTCTTTCTTTCCATAATCAACTACGATAAAAACTTCCCAACTCGTCCTTTCAGTGAAAGTTATCACAACACATGAACATAAAGTGGCAGAAACATCTGGGATAAGGTGTGCAATCTTAAACGAAATTAAATATCCAAAAAGAAAGTATACAAATCGAAACTTCGTCTGCTTAATCTGGACAACATTTCTATATGTGTACCTTTTGAAGTCGAAATATAGACAAAACTGCATGCAAAATTATGGAAAGCTAACGAAAAGAATCTGTCTACGGTGACGAATGGTGCAATACCTGGAAAATCAGTCAATGGGTAGTCGAAGTAGTACTGACAATGGCGACCCTCAGGATCACAATATGGAGGGCCGAGCACGTCCAGTACAGCACATGCTGTCTTTGCTGTGAAGCAATGCATGTTTCCACCATCAGTTGGATAGAGGACGGAAGTGCTGCAATGTGCAGTAAACTCCGAGTTGACCTTAAGCTTTGCCGGTCGCAGTCCATCTGGATAGCCTGCAGGAGATTAATAGCGATTTACGCTAGAAAAGGCATAATTTTTCCCTACTTATAGCACTAAATTACACTGAAAATTATTGATTGCCCTTTTCAATGTTATCAGCAATTCAAGAAATATCTGCATGCACCAAATATACTATTTTAATTTGTGTAAAGCATTCGGATTTTGCCAAATTTGCGGCCATTTGCTTTTTGCCAGTGTGACACGATGTATGCATTTTAACTTTAGCATTCACACGTTTGACTAAACTTGAAACCTGCTTTCGACTATCTAGACTCATCAGCGAGGAGCATTGAAGTATTTTCTAAAAAAAAAAAAATAATAATAATAACTACCAGTTAGGGCCTCATTAAAATGAAACTTTCACTAGGCAAACAAATTTCGAGGATTTCCTCATTCTTAGTTCGTTTTCAATTTGTCCGTTATTTCTTTCAGTGCACATGCTATGCAGAATTTTCACATGCTATGCAGAATTTTTTTGTTAACCGCCCTCCAATTATTTAAACACCAGAGACTGCGAGACTTTTCAACCATTTAATTACAGTTCGAAAAAAATACCAATTACCATCTTTCAAGAACATAACAGAAGGGGACGCTTGAATAAATTTTAACCAAAGGGATGAAAGTGGAGTCAGAGAAACAAACTGTTTGAATGATTAGCAACTGGAGCTACGCCATCGGGGTTCGCATCCCCCTTATCCTTCGTATCCAGCCAGTCATATGACTTGATATGCATAGTTCCGAAGAGAAGCTTGCTGAAAACTGTCATTCCAGGATGGTTATGAAGTGGAATGACACTTGATGGTGGCAAGCAGAAGATTCCAATCTGCAATAATACAAGAGATAAGCAAGAAACCCAATAAAAGAGATTACGAGTTCGATTGATATGCAGTATTGGATAGAGCTTGAGAGAATAATAAACATGATTTTAGCATCTTTTTCTGTTTTAATCCTCTCCACTTGTGTTCAGAATCCTTACCAGACTTGAATGAACATTTGGGGAAAAGGAAGAGGGGGAGAAAGGGGGATGCAGAGCAGATTACGTACCGAGAATTTGTCACACTCGTGAAGCTGTAGATATGTTATAATAGGAGCTCGATTACTGTCGAAAAACAGCATATTAGGCCTCAGGTCGACGTCTGCTTGAGTAATCTTGTCTGCATGAATTAAAGTTTGTTTAGCCCTACAGAGAAGAATCTGAATAAAGAAAACAAATCTGCAGCTTTCATAAT